GTTGAAACTGATCAGTTTCAGCAGCGGCTGAATCTGGATGCCAGTTCCGACTTACATACAGATTCAACTTAAGAACAAAGCTACAGTCCCTATCTTGTACGTAACCCGGGGACTGCCTGTACTGTGTACATCTTGCACATACTACACTGTTGTCTGGGTATAACAGACAGACATCATGGATGGTTGAGGCTTTCAAATCTGTTGAAACTGATCAGTTTCAGCAGCGGCTGAATCTGGATGCCAGTTCCGACTTACATACAGATTCAACTTAAGAACAAAGCTACAGTCCCTATCTTGTACGTAACCCGGGGACTGCCTGTACTGTGTACATCTTGCACATACTACACTGTTGTCTGGGTATAACAGACAGACATCATGGATGGTTGAGGCTTTCAAATCTTGCACATCCTTTACCGTGCTCCAAGAGAGAGTGCCAGCAAACGTAGGGAAATAAATGTACGAGCAGCAGACATTTCATTTTCCATAGAATAACTATGCAAGAACATTGTTAAAATACTGAGATTGTCATCGAGATACAGCAGCAAAGAGTTAGTTTTTTATTGATCATGCGTCTCGGTCATTAGAGCAGATTTATCTTTGCCCTATTACATTCAGCAGTAAATAGTTTACAAAACAAAAACAAAAAATCCAAAACCCTGATGACAGAATAAATTTGAATTTAAAATGGGCTGCAGGACAACATCCCTCTTTTTTATATTACCCAAACAACAATTGTATTATATATGAAACTTCCTGCTATATACACACACTGCTATTATACACTCCTGGCTCTCGATATAACAGACACAGATCTGCTGCACAAATCCAGCTCTTATTTCTGTGGTCGAGATGTCCCCAGACAGTGCAACTGGTGGTGATCTGCTGTATACAAAATGAGATTTAGGAACCAGAGGGCTACTCACACATCTGCTACATGGCTTGGAGCCCAGCTCTGTGGAGTTTCCTGCGTGCAGGTGCATTGGGGACAGGTCATAGATAACCTATGGGAGAAGCCTCCTGCATGGATGCTTCAGCTCTGTCTCTCCATAGTTTTCTTATCCTTAAGAATTCATGGGGCTGAAACAGAGGCCATCGAGTGAGTGGCCTCATTGCGTCCCTCCTCCTTATCTATGCAGTACTCAGTCTGGCTATTTGAGGTAGATGCTAAGTAGAGGACATTACTATATATACTATATACACCTATTTTAAGTGTCAGAAGTGAAGTATTGTGTTTATAACTTGGCTCTCAAAAGCCACGTAGAAATGGAAGTTTAAGATCCTGTGGTTAAAATTCGGAATGTGTACATGTGTGCTGTCATGCACAATATGGAACAAACAAAATCTTACCAAATGCAGACTATTGTGAGATGATACTCATTTTTTCAGGAGGGGATTTTTTTTTTTAAAGAACCCTGTCTAGTTTTAGACTGCGCTTTCACTTTTGAAAAATCCTTTATTGAAATGAAGCACAGGATATTTAAATCCGCGCTTCATTTGCACTTTTGATTTGCTTCATTTACATTCCTCTTTCGACAAAAGAATGTAGTGTAGACATAGCCGAAAGGTAAGCCTATTTTGCAAAGAAAAATCCCTGGCTGGCCTGTGCCAGCCAACTTGAGCTCATGGGACTTGGCAGCAGTATTTTTTCATCGCTGTTTAGATTTCTGGGCTTGGGCTGCAGCCCAGCTTCTAGGACCCTGCGAGGTGGGAGGATCCCAGAACACAGAAGTCTGCTCAGCAAAGGAACAGCCCCACAGCCAGAGCCACACAAGCTCAGCTAGCATGGGCGAGATGTAGTTTTTCTTTGCTGTGTAGAGCTGCCCTAGATATTCAGGTCACAGTTTCTTCATCTGTAAAGTAAAGCCAATAATATATACTACCGTGTAAGGGTAGTGCAACGCTAACCAAAATGCTGGTAATGAAGAACAAACTCTCTGGAGAGCAGATGAAATTTATTGGATAGCAGAATAGTGCAAAAGCAGAGTCTTTGAAAAGGCTCTTGTTTTAGTCTTGAGGTCTTAGAAAAGTGTGTGTGTGAAGGAATCTTATGGGACAGAACTATGTACTTTAGCAAGGATTCAGGATACTGGCTTGTGTTGTAATCTGTATACACATTAATTATTAAACAAGATTCTTTGTCTGGCACCTAGTCTTTGTTTGGTATATGTTTATAACATGTTTAAAATCCACTTAGCTGGAAATCAAAAAATAACATTAAGATTCAGGCTTGAATCTACAAAAAATAACGTAAGTAGAGACATTTAAGGATCAGTTTTGCTGGCCTGCTCTTAATTCACCTCATTTAGCCTCTAGGCATTGCAGCATTTACAGTCCAAAACCACCATTCTGGTCTAAGGCCTTTGCACTATGTAAACACAATGTGTTGAGCTGTCTATAAAGTGACATTCTTTACTCCAAGTTTTCCTACCTTTCTCCATTTTGTTGCTATGTTAATGTATCGTTTTGCAATTTCCTTTCCATGATCGGGTTTGAAACAAAACAACCAAAAGTATGCCTTATAGACATTTCCATTTCAGTCTTTGCAACAGTCGCTTCAAGGCTCATTAGAGAACACTAAGTCTCCATGTACTGTCAACACATCGTCAAAGGACATCAGCACCATTCTTGGACACAGTGCTCCACAATGGCTTCATATCTTGTCAATCCCTAATAGTAAGATATTCAGAAAATGATTTCTGTCATAGTAAACTGTGTCAGTTCAGACCATGCAAATGTTAATGTGTGGATGTTTGAAAACATGGTACTTCATATTTATCTATTCTAGGCTGCTCTTACAATAATAGGGCCATGTATTACCCTTAGAACTACACACAGATTTGTCTTTGTTATCTTACACCCTTCTCTACACCATTTAGATGTTTGCATACAACCATGTTTTTGTCTGATAACTGACAAGATAGAGTTCCTTGTTTGGGGTGTGTTCCTCCACCCCTTATTCATCAGAGTATGACAAGATTGAGCCTTCCTTAGAAAGCCAGATCATGGCCTATGCACCAATTAAATACTCAAAACAGGATTTCAGTGGGGCATTAACTACTCATAGGCCTTGGGCTGTCCCTGTATAAAGGGATACATTTTATTATTAGTCCCAGGATGCTCCAGTCCTGCAAACACTTACATTCGTGAATAAATTTACACACGACTGGTCCCATTGACACTTATGAGAGTGCTCATGAGCATAAAGCATTTTCAGAATGGGGGACGGTAGGTAGTGGAGCCAGTAATGGCTACATTATACTAATGAAATGTTAATCTCTACCCATCATATATCTCAGCTGTCCCGCCTAGACAGTGGATCACCTCCATTTCAAAACTAGTTTGCTATCATTTCAGTTTTAATGTCTTTAGACTATCAATGCAGAATCAGAAAAGAGGTTGTAGAAATGATTTATGATTTAAAACTGAACAAATACAGTTAATAATTCCACAGCATGTTAAACTTCTTGCACTACTTATTTTCTCTCTTTTTTTTTCATTTTGGGTCTTTGAGCCACATTGTGTCCCACAATTTGCACCTCAGTAGACAGAGAGCTATAATCACCATCTGTCTATATTTTTCTAACCCCCGTGATTGGACACCACAATGTGGGTACTAAAAAGAAAGTAGTGCACATGCTGCCAATTTCATTATCTTTCTCCTCTGCGAGTGCTTATATTACTCACTGCCCAGATCCCCACATGGAAAGAAATATTGGCATTTTAGCTGTGCTTTAGCTAAGGACTGTACCTGCAATGGCAGCATTTATCTCTTTTGAAGATAGAAATATAGGATTAGCCTGGAAGGTCTTTATTACTATCATTTAAAGCTGCCTTAAAATACATTTTTCTTTACACTTTTGTTTAAAGACACACCCAGTAGATTCTCTGCATTCACTAGAACCTCTGTGGATGCCTGAAAACAAGTTTCACTGTATATAGACACATCTTCTTGAAAACCAATCCATGGTTTCATTTCCACTCAATTCTATCTAGGAGGAGCAACATCTTTCCTTCACAGAAAGAGTAAAAAAATTACTGTATCCTTACAACTCAGTGTTTTTGATCCTAGTGACGTTTTGGTGGGAAACAGGCAGCACAGAATATTTCAGCAGACAAAAGGTACTGTCATGTGATGAAGGCTGGGATAAGAAAATATTAATTTAAAATAAATAATAATAATAATAATAATAAATAACATTTTGAAAAATCTACACAAATGGGAGAGGTGAAGAATAAATTGTACACTGCAGAAGAGTAATAATTTTAACAAGAATAAAAAATTATGTTAGAGACAACAGAAAGCAGAGGGGTTACCCGAATTAGAGAAAAAATATTGCAGAGTAAAGGTAATGCACAGAGTCTAAGATCAGAAGGAACTGGTACACTCATATGGTCTGATCTCCTGCATGATGGATACTAGCATGTGTATGGATTCCAGGATTAGATTGATGTTTAAGATGTTGCATGAAGACTCATTGCCTCTGATATTTCATTTGTGAAATGATATTATGATGACATATTACCAGGTAAAGATAATATGTATTTGTCATTGTCGTGTCTTTTCTGTTACTTCATTGTAGCCTGCTTCTGTTCCAAAGCTTTAGGCGTATTACTGAGCCACTGGGTAATGTAATGGCTTTATTTTCTAGTTAATAGCTCAGTATTCACAGTTACTCATGTACACAATATTTCTCCCTCTCTCTCTAGGTGTGTGTGTGAGTATGTAACCATAAAATAATATTAATATAACTGCAAAGTCAAGCACTCAAAACCTAGGAAATGCCAGAATTAAGATTGTCTACACAAACTTAATTCTGCCTTTTGCATATATGATTTACGAGACAGCCTTTAACTACACAATCACATATTATTTTCTCAACCAGATTGCTGTGGACTTAATGAACAGCTATTCAATATTTTTTCTATTTTTTCCCTCATATTCAATCTATGGCCTTATTTATGGCACAGTATTAAGCGCTGCTCCGCAAACAGAATTATTAATTTCCTTGTGGTTTCCTTATGGTGCTCAACCCTACAGTATCTGTATGCTTCACAGACATTCATGGATTTATTTGTACAACAAACCTGTGAAATACATAAGTATTATTAACCCAGTTTTACATATGGGGAATTGAGACACAAAGATTAAGGTCAAAAGAATTCAGTAAGTTGGGTGCTGAATTTGAGATGTCTGAGACATGATTTTTCAGAATATTCAACACTTTATATGTTCAAAATACAGCTCACATTGAGTTTACACTGTATGTATAATTTTTGTTGTTTTAAAATCTGAGGTTTATAAAATCATTATTGCTTTGTTCATACTGCTAAATAGTACGTTGGTTTAAGAATGCCGTTCGCAGGCTCCTGAAGGGAAGAAACTCAGGTGTCCAATTGGACTCAAAGGGTGATAATGATTATGTGATGTCCCCAGGTCTGGGTTAAGGAGTGGAAGAATTGTGTCATTTCTCTAGTACAGGAAAAGAGACCTACTATTATGTGAAGTGAAAAAAGGAGGTATACAGGATCTTGCGCAAAAGTTTTCTTTTTGCACAAAACGGACCCATCTACACTGCTTGTTTTTGTGCAAAACCTCTTGTGCAAAAAACATTGGCCGAGATACGCAAATGACAAATGCTAATGAGTGCTTCATTAGCATACCCTCTGTCAACAAATACCTGCATTGTAGTCGTAGCCTGAGACATGCGAAAGAGGGCACGGCAGCAAGTAGTGCTGTAACTAAGACTAATATTTTTCAGGAAAAGTAAAAAAAAGAGCACAGCTAACACCAAAAGCAAACTTTAATTGCATGAAAGCATAAAATAATAAGACTGAAATATCTCGCTAGCAAACAGTCCTCCAAGACATGTAGATGGGAATATAACCAATCTTTTAGTTTCTTGACACCTTACCCATTGCAGACATCATTCCCAATTGAAGCATAGATAACAATGGCTGGATTGTCCAATAGCTGATTCCTAGCCAAGCTAAAAAATATAAAAATAAATAAGTAGCAATATCAATGATGAAGACCATTCTCATATAATAGCCCAAATTATACTGTGCTTGTGAGATCATACTGCACATTGCAGAATAATTCTTTTAGGGTATGTCTGCACTACCACCCTAGTTCGAACTAGGGTGGTTAATGTAGTCATATGGAGTTGCAAATGAAGCCCGGGATTTGAATTTCTCGGGCTTCATTTGCATAAAGCCGGGTGCCGCCATTTTTAAATGTCCGCTACTGCGGACTCCGTGCCGCGCGGCTACACACGGCACGGACTAGGTAGTTCGGACTAGGCTTCCTAGTCCGAACTACCGTTACTCCTCGTGAACTACCTATAGTTCACAGAATAAGGCAGAGGACCCATTTAATACTTAATTTATTGTGATGTAAATCAATAATTAATTTATTCTGATGCAAGCCAATGGAGTTACATCAGTGTCAACCTGTTGCATGGGCCTGATCCAGGCTTCTTTGAAGTTAGTGGAAAGATTCCCATTGACTTCAGTGGGGCTGGGTCCAGGCCCTAAACAGGAGGCAATTCAATCCAAAGTTTTTATTTCAATGAAATATTCTCCATGACGTAGAAGAAATAAACAGTTTTCCAAAATATGGTAGGTCATCAAATCTATGGTGTAAGACTTAAACCACTGTCAGCCAGTATATTCAATGCACAGTTTTGTTTTGATTTATTTCTGGAAGGTTGAATTCTAATTAACTACTGTACACACACCCAGGATACAATTCCCATTAAGTGCTTACCTTTTAATTAAATCCAGAAGATTTTCTGAAGAACCACCTACATGATCAAACAGAGTGAAAAAGAAAGAGGGTATAACCATTTAAATGACAGATCTCTAGAGTAAATTTGTTTGTATAGGAACACGGGAATATTAGAAGCACAAGTAATCTCCATGCCCTTTCTTTTGGATTCTACTTATGTAATAAAAAGTTTTCCACGGACCTCCTTTTCTTCACCAGCAGAAAACAATCCCAGCAATGCACATGCTTCCAATGGTACTGTATATCATAGTGAAGGTTCTAATTCAAACCCTCTGATTAAAATACTTCTGAACTTTGGGGTTAATTTGAATCTAGATTTGACTGCTTTGCCCATCCCTAGGGCACAATCATCTCCAGTAAACACCCACCTTTGTTTGTGAACAGTCAAACAAATTGAGAAGTGAATCATTCTTACAACTGAATAAAAATTAATGGCCAACAGGTTGGTAAAGTTCTGAGTGATAAGCATAAAACAATGGGACTGTGCCAACAGCACCTTTGACAACATAGGGTACGTCTACACTACAGCGCTAGTTCGAACTAACTTAGTTCGAATTAGTTAATTCGAACTAAGCTAGTTCGAACTAGCGCATCTAGAACTAAAAACTAGTTCGAACTAGCGTTTTGCTAGTTGGCCAACAGGTTGGTAAAGTTCTGAGTGATAAGCATAAAACAATGGGACTGTGCCAACAGCACCTTTGACAACATAGGGTACGTCTACACTACAGCGCTAGTTCGAACTAACTTAGTTCGAATTAGTTAATTCGAACTAAGCTAGTTCGAACTAGCGCATCTAGAACTAAAAACTAGTTCGAACTAGCGTTTTGCTAGTTCGAACTAGCGCGTCCACACTGATTGGACGCAGGGGGGCATTTAAGGGCAGCTGAAACCGGTTCTGGCAGGGCATCAGGTCAGCAGTTGCTTTGTGTGGCTGCTGTCTGAGGCTATCTGAGGCTCGTGCTTAAAGGG